ATTGTCACAGCACAGAGGTTTTGGGGAGAAACAAAGGTGGCTTCCTGCCACAGGCTCCGTGGTCAGACCCAGAGGGTTGTAATTGATGGCAGTCACTCATCATGGTGTCCTGTGACCAGTGGGGTCCCCCAAGGCTCTGTCCTTGGACCCATATTGTTCAACATCTTCATCAATGATGTGGGCATTGGAGTCAGGAGCGTGGACTGGCCAAGTTCGCCGATGACACCAAACTTTGGGGCAAAGCATCCACACCAGAAGACAGGTGAGTGATCCAGGCTGACCTGGACAGGCTCAGCAAATGGGCGGACGAGAACCTGATGGTGTTTAACACCGAAAAATGCACGCTTCTCCACCTTGGGAAGAAAAACCTGCAGCATCCTTATAGGCTCGGCAGTGCTACGCTGGCTAGCACTATGGAAGAAAGAGACTTGGGGGTCATCATTGACCACAAGATGAACACGAGCCTGCAATGCGATGCTGCGGCTAGTAAAGCGACCAAAATGCTGGCTTGCATCCATAGATGCTTCTCAAGCAAATCCTGGGACATCATTCTCTCCTTGTACTTGGCCTTGGTGAGGCCGCAACTGGAGTACTGTGTCCGATTTTGGACCCCACAATTCAAAAAAGATGTGGAGAAGCTTCATAGTTTCATAGTTTCTAGGGTCAGAAGGGACCTGAGCAGATCATCGAGTCTGACCCCCTGCCATGGCAGGAAAGAGTACTGGGGTCAAACGACCCCAGCAAGGTGTTCATCTAACCTCTTCTTAAAGACCCCCAGGGTAGGAGCCAGCACCACTTCTCTTGGAAGTTGGTTCCAGATCCTAGCCCTGACAGTGAAGTAGCACCTCCTGATGTCTAGCTTGAGAGAGTGCAGAGAAGAGCCACATGCATGATCAGAGGTCAGGAAAACAGACCTTATGACAACAGGCTGAGAGCCATGGGGCTCTTCAGCCTGGAAAAGCGCAGGCTCAGGGGTGATCTAAACCTATAAGTTTATCGGGGTGCTTACCAGGATCTGGGGGAACGTTTGTCCACCAGAGTGCCCCAAGGGACGACGAGGTTGAACGGTCATAAACTACTGCGAGACCGTTTCAGGCTGGACATAAGGAAGAATGTTTTTACTGTCCGAGTCCCCAAGGTCTGGAACAGCCTGCCATCGGAGGTGGTTCAAGCACCTACATTGAACCCCTTCAAGAGCAAATTGGATGCTTATCTTGCTGGGCTCCTGTGACCCCTGCTGACTTCCTGCCTCTGGGGCAGGGGGCTGGACTCGATGATCTTCCGAGGTCCCTTCCAGCCCGAATGTCTATGAAATCTGTGAAATCTATAATTTTCGTAGAGCTTCCTGTTGCCAGCGAGAATGACTTTACTTGCATGTGTGATGTCATTGGTTAATATTGTCGACTTGTCTCTCAAAGTTTGTTGCACCACATGACATTTCCGTGCCAATCTTGAATCAGTCTGTTTCTCATATGTGCAGAAATCATATTGTATTTATAATAAATTAAGCCAAATACAACTGTATTGTGGTATGCACGTATAACCTGAAAACCTGTCTTCTCTCCACACCGTGACAGTGTCTGCATCATAAGGCTTTTCACCCGAATGAGCCCTTGCCACCTATTGAACAGCACCTTATCAACATGTTGGAGACCCCTCGGGAAGTGAAAGAAAGATGTCAGACTTCTCTTGAAAAAATAAAGTCGCTTTTCCCCCTAAAGGAAGCTGGAAAGAAAAAACAGCAGAAAACTGCCCAAGATATCTTCCGAGACAAGTAAGTGGAAGGGTTTGTATGGATTTTTTAAATACATTGGCCCTTAATTGTTTTGGATTCTGTCTGTAGGGTGTTGTCGTTTGAAATCTTTTTGTCGTGAGATCACTCAGTTATGGTATGATAAAGGATATGTGGACAGAGGATTTTGTGGTACCAAAGCATCTCTCGGTAGAGCCCTTTATGATAGTGTGCCTAGGTAGAGTGATAATTTTCTCGTGGTCTGTCTGTTTTTGGCTCCAGTCTCTAGGTCCAGGGCATAGAAGGTCCAGTCTGTATTTGTTGTCCAGCAGTCGTAGCAACAGGGTTTGAACATGGGCAACAAAAGGTCTCACTTAGTTTAAGATCAGGCTCATTATGCAGCTTCCAGTTTTAATGGGTTGGCATCTCTAATAGATGAGCTAGTGCTTGGAACAATGCTGTGTTACAGGTGGATTTAAATTTAAACTACAGTAGTCAGAGCTGGATTTGGGCTTTTAGGGGTCCCAGTATAGTGGATCTAGCTTTTAAGGATCCCAGGGAAGCTGATCTGTGCTATATGAGGGTCTCCAGATTCCCTTCCTATACATCCTTATATCCCTGTGCCTAATTTAATATCTTAAACTTGTAAACCTTCTGGGACGGGGATCCCAACCAGCTTTTTTCTTTCCATTTTCAACAGCAGGGCTAATTGTCTGCCTCCACCTCTGCCACAGGGGAGCTGCTTCAGGACTGGGAGTCTTCACAGCTAGATTAAGCTGATATTTCCTCTCCCTTCCTGGAGTTCAATAGGCAGGAACCTGTTACATGAAAGAAATGTCTGTGCCACTAATGCTACTGAATCCCTGTGTTGACATAATTTAGTGTTCTTATCTAGACCGTCCCAAATGAGGAGATTCAGAATTTGAAGTTAGCTTCGTGCTCCTAACTCACGATGTTGATATTGCAAGGGGCCTTACAGAAGTCATAGAGAAGTAGGGCTGGAAGGGACTTCCGGAGGGCTCATCTAATCCAGCCTCCTGCCTGAGGCAGGATATCCCCATCCAAACCATCCTGTGTAAATCCATTGTCTAGCCTCTTAACAAAATGAGCACATCTGATTTTGGGTTGTGCTGTACAGACTATGGTGGTGTGGTACATGGCCACCTTACTTCCAAGCAGCCTTTGTTTTGTAAGCACGTGCAGTAGCTTTATAAATTTATGGACATATTTTTAGAGCAAATATGGAGATATACTTTAAAAAAAACATGCATTACTGTGTGCCATTCATGAATCTACTCATCTGTGACAGTGACTATCATCTGTGATGATTAGCCTGCTCATCTGTGATGGTGACCATTTTTTGCCCAAACCCAGATTGTCAAGTATCTCGTCTTCTTTTCCACTCACTGCTTTGATAGTGACACTGGTCTTTTTTTGTTTTAAGCACCGTGCATGTGTGCTGCTGTTCGGACCAAATTCATTGACCATGAATTAATAAACCCTACCGTACTCCTGATGCAAAGACAGTCAGATGCTAAGTTAGAAACAGGAGCTGGATCATCCGGGAGAGAGAATTTGAAGAGAAACATGTGAATGATCATTGGGAATTGTCTGAAGATGTTTTACTAGATGCCCAAAAACTTCAATCTGACAAGAAAGAGGGCTATGTTGGTTAAAAATTGATTGGACTTGAAGGTGAAATAAAGGAAAAGTTGATAGAAATGGATAGAAATCAGTAGGTATAAGCTGTAGAAAATTGACAAGGAAACGCAAAAGAGTGCAAGGAAAAATGTATGGCCAGCAGAATTATGGGCAATAAAAAAGATATAAATTCTGGGGATTTTTTTATGCATGTAAGAGATGAAAGGAACTTTGAATTAGTCCATTCATAAATAGAAATGGGGGAATTGTTAAACTAAAGGAGAAGCAGTCAATAAATATTTCTGTTCTGTATTTGGAAAAAAGTGAAGTGATATAGCCCTATCATATAATGGTGATGAAGCACTATATGCTGCAAAAGTAGCTAAGAAGAGTACTAAACCACAGCTGTTAAGATTAGACATCTTTAAATCAGCAGATCCAAGTACCTTAAATTCAGGAGTTTTAAAAGATCAGGTAGCTGAGCTCTCTGGATCATTAATGCTGACTTTTCATTCGTAGAAAGGTGGTGAAATTAGCTTTCTTGCGGCCCTTTGGAAGGTGGTAACACTCAAAAAGGGTAGATGTGATGACCTGAGTAATTACAGGCCTGTCAGTTTGACTTAGATCCCAGGCAAAATAATGGAACAGCTCATACAGGTCTCAATTAATAAAGAATTAAAAGAGGGTAATATAATTAATGCTAGTCAACATGGGTTACTGGAGGGTAGATCATGTCAAACTAACTATATAATTTTTTATGAGGTTACAGATTTGATTGATAACAGTAATAATTTTAATGTAATAGACTTCTGCTAGACATCTGACTCTGTACTGGCATTTGAAATAAGGAAGTGGAATGACACCCATGATGTGGTTTTACAAACTGGCAAGACAACAGGTTTTGAGTGGAATTGTAAATGGGGAAACCGGGGGCAGGTTTCTGTTGGAGTCCCCTGCGTGTCCGTTTTTGGTCCTCCTAATATTTGTATTGCTCACCTGCTAGGAAATATAAAATTATTCTTGATAAAGCTTGCAGGTGAGACAAGGGCGCAAAGAGGGGCAAGCAAATAATGAACAGAACAGGTCACAGAGAGAGCTGTCGTTATTGCTTGATGAAATGGATGCAGTCAAACAAGATGCGTTTCAGTACAGCCAAACGTAAGCTCCTGCATCTAAGAACAAAAAATATAGGTCATGCCTATCAGATGATGGACAGCATCTCTAAATTCAGACAGCACCTATAAGATATTAGAAAGCAGTGACGCTGAAAACGTCTTAAGCATCGTGCTGAATAATCAGGTGAATCTGAGTTGTGATGTAGCATTGTGGCTCCAAATCTAATGCACTCCTTGGGGAGCAGAGTACTATTAAGTGAGGAGTAAGGAAATTATATCACTTTTGCAGTTATCTGGAGCTCTGCATGCACTTCTGATGTCTAGACTTGAGGAATGATGTTGATAACTTGGCGAGGGTTCACATAAGAGCCCGCAGAATGAATAAAAGATTGGAATATATGCCTTATAAGAAAAGACTTAAGGAATGCAATCTGTTCAGTATATCAGTGAGAATGTATAGGGCTGGTTTGACCCGGTCTGTAAGTACCTACGTGGAGAGCAGTAAATTGTGGATAAAATTCCCTTCATTCCAACAGACAAAAGATCCCCTGGTTGGAAATTGAAGGTAGACAAATTCAAATAGAAATACAGTATACATTTCTGCGAGCGAGGGCACTTAACCTCAGCAGTTTACCAAAGGCGGTGATAGATTCTCTGTCAATTTTTAAAGCAAGTTTTAAAGCAAGATTGTCTTTATAAATGTTGTGCTGAGTTCACCCGTAGCTATGGGATTGGAAGCCGGTATTAATTTAGGACCATCTCCTGCCTGCGTTGTGTAGGAAGTAAAGCAAGTGGTGTTTAATGTGTATCGCTGCTCTTTAAAACAAGGTATTACACGTTGAATCGGGGGCATCAGTGCAAGTAAGATGCTGGTTCAGGACAGAAGTTGTGTTTCAAGCATGGGTCTGTGATCCAGTAGATCAGATACCTGACTTTCCTGTTCCTCTTTGTGCCACTGACACTGGGTGACCGCAGGGAAGTCATTTCATTGCTTAATTTTGTCATTTTCTGGGGCTGCTTTGTACGGCTTTTTCATATGTGCAGATGCAAAGTAGATCTGATTATGATTTATATTGATTTGTATTGCTATAAATACGTTTATCGGGAATCATGAATACTAGTCTTATAGCTTAAAACAGTGTGTCTCAGCCTTTTAAGATTCAGGACACCCCACTGTAACATTTTTGAATTTTGCAGTTTCCCCAGCTGGAAACCACTGCTGCACTGCCTCAGTTTACTGCGTCAGGGCTCAACCGGAGAGTTGTCGGTGCTGCAGGCGAGCAGAACTGCCCCGCGCTCCTCGGGCTCAACCCAACCAGGGAGGGTCTGGCAAGAGCATGGGCTCACGCCTCCGGTAGGGTTATCGGATAAGTTTAAAGCAGGCAGGAGAGCCAACTCATGCAGAACCCCATCCTGGTCCATTCCCGCACAGCATCTCCTGGAAACAGAGGTGTGTGGAGCAGGTGAAACTCTGTTTCTGGGAGGAGCATGGGGAAAAGGATGGGTAAGGACAGAGGCATGAGGAGGCCCCACTTCAGGCTAAAGAGATAACCTTAATGTCGAAGGAGTGCATGCTTGTGCTGCAGCCTTTCCTAGTCTAACTGTGCATAAGCCACACGGCACGTTTGAACCTGGCTGCAGTGGTGCCCGCATTGTGATCTTGCAACACCCCAGTTGAGAATCACTGGCTTAAATGCTGTTCATTGGGAGGCTCCCATCTAAGTACTGACTTGACTCAACTGTACTTAGATTTTGAGATCTAAGGGGGTCACGCAAGGCAGTATGGTTTCATGCATACAGTGTATTCCAAGTAGGCATTCAAAACGTAATGGAAATTTCAGTGCTCGCTATTCATTTTTGTTTTCCTTGGCAAGAAATCTGGTAAAACAAAGGGACTGTTCCTTTCGCTATCTTGGGTTTGACTTGAAGGTGTTGAGAAAAGTTTTATATAAAACCTAAAAGAGAGTGTACAATTCCAGTCGTTTAAATTAAACTCAGGGTATAGAGAGGTGTAACAACTGTGGCAGTATCGAAGGACACCGATGCCAGCTGTTGTTGTGCAGCTGTTAGCATCTGATGAAGTGAGCTCTTGCTCATGGCAGCTTGTGCATCTCTGATTCAGTTTTCTATAAAGGGCATCTCTACCTTGCCTTATGCCTGCCTTCAGACTAACGTGGTGAACTGCCTCTTTTTTCACTTTGTGATTCTGCTGCCATACAGGTGGAACAAAAACCACTCCCAATATTAACCTTGCTTCCTTCAGGCTCAAAGTTAGGGTGATTTAGCTAATACTTATCACTGCAAGCCCCAGCAGGCCTAACAATTAGAGCAGCAGCTCCCTCTCCTGTTGTGAAGTGGCTAAAAACTCCATTTGTCCATACCTTGTCATGGACTTCTCCCTTAGTTTTCCTCAAACAGCAGCTGCAGCTGTCACATTGTTAAATTGCATCTCACCAGTCAGTACATAATAAGCAACAGATAACGTTCAAGAGCAAAATCCTGGGCTGATGGAAGTCGGTATACGTCCATGGGTTCAGGTGAACTACAGTCACGGCAGATCGGGACCTAAATATTTCTGTCACGTTGTCACAGCTGTTATCCTGTTCATAACTTCCAAAAAACATTTTATAGCATTAAGAGGGAGAAGAAAACAGTGAGGCACTAGCAAGGATGAATAGCAGGGTTTGAGAGATTTTTCTTGCGGGATCATTGGGCCGTTATTTTGCCCGTTATCCCGGGATCGCAACGTGCTGGAGAAGTGGATGTGAATGCTTGGACACCCTGAGCGCAGCCACCTGCACTTCCTCCGTTTCACTGGTGACTGTATAGGAGGCACAGACCGAAGGAGACGCTCATCCAAGGTCAGCCAGAAAGTCTGGGAGCAAAGCAAGTTATCCTTCATCCGCCTCCCACGGTTTACCCACAAGGTCACCCTTTCTCTGTGCAAGCAGAGAGCCAGAGTGATAAGTCACCTTATATCAGATGACAGGCAGTGCGGAGGAGAAGGGATCTTATCCCAGCACTGACACAAGTAGGGGAACAGCAAAGATGGGCAGCGATACAAACTGGGGGAGGAGGGAGAGGCCTGGTCTGCGGCGTGGGCAGAAGCACACGGTGAAAATGGATGGTGACTTTTTGACATCTGAGTAAGAGCTCGTGACTGACACTCATGCAAGTTTTAAAACCAGTTCCTGGTTGCAAGGTATGCAAAATAACGCCTGACCCTGACATCTTTTTCTTGTCCTTGCTTTTTCAGGCACCTGCTTGTCTTCACTCTGGTTTCAGGACTTTTTCAGATAACCCTTTTATTTGACTCCATTTTAGATTTCTTTGAAAAGTTGTTTATGAGTGCTGTAATTTAGATAACAATTACTGTTATCGCTCGGTTGCTCTCAATCATTCTTAACCTAAAATTATTCTTCTCTTTCAGTAGCCTCATGCATTTATGTTCAAGAACAAAGATATTGCATGTCATTTTGTTCTTTGATTTCATCCCCCTCCCCTTGTTGTTAGCTAGGCTTTTTTTCTCCCATTGCTAAGATGTGCTCTTAAAGTTTGGCGTAGTATGTGATGCAGGTCAATTCTTGGTTTGAGTCTTCGCCTTGAAATAAGTTAGCTGGGAGGACAAAGCGAGTAGGTAGCCTAAAACCACAATTAGTTTTTTTTTTAGATTACAAGTGGTCTTTTGAAAGCAGTTTGAGAGAAACTGTAAGGTCGTCCTGAGAGAGATCTCACATAGCTAATTGGGGTTTGTCTAGTGAGTTTTGACAGCTGTAAGTGGAAGTTTATAAAGCTCTCATGAATGCTGATGGAGAAGATGGGTTATTAGACTCAGAAGTCTCTGTGTACACAGATATCTAATAGCTATCAATTCCAAGACAGGAACTAGCAAATAATTTTTGAAGGGTAAATGGATTTCTTACTTAAATGTTAAGTTTCCATTACCTGCACTGTCAATTTCATCTTTAAAAAGAGTCTGATGTGAATGCTAAATATCACGAATATGCCCTAACACAGAGCGGGGCTGCTTTTGTACGCAGGCTTCAAATCAGGTGGGTTGGCAGGATCCCGTGTTCTTGGTGATGGGGAGAAAAGACCCGTGGCCAAAATCATCTCCAGAATATGCAGGCCCATAATCCGTGACCTGCGGCGAGAATCGTCTTCGCTTACGCTGGGTTAAATCCAATGCATTGTTTCTGCCGTGTGTCCTCACACTACCTGTAGGAGAACAAGGCATGATTGGTTATTAGCTCAGAGACAATCCTACAGCTAAAGTTTCACTGACGATCTCTTTTCACAGAATGAATTTCACCAGTGCACTGACTGGCTGGCAGGATGATTTGCTTTGATTTAATGTTTTGTCCACCTTCGTTTCCAGCAACGGAGAGGGCCCCAGTACTACAAAGGCAGAAGCTGAAGATAAAGAAGACAGCGTTAGCATTGCAAACCTTGCTCAAGGCAATGTCACCTCCGTAAGCAAATCTTTACAAATCTTGTTTCTAAAGGGGAAAGAATAATTCTAGACCTTCCCATGGGCGGTTTTCTTGGGCACAGACAGATGGCCAGTTACACTGCTTTAACCTGCGGTGCGGGAGGATTTATCTCTGGTAAGCGCTCAGCATCTGATCCCCTGTAACTGTTGGGCTGGTTCTCTCCTATCCCACAACCTGCACCATAATGATTAGCCCTTAATGAAACTGAAATTATTGTGGAATAGCTTCCAGTGACTGCAGGGCAGAGCAGACAGTTGAAACTGGTCCAGTGGGTTCATCTGACTTTATTCCATCCGTATATTTAGTTTCTGCCTATTCCCCGATATCTTAACCGAAGTACAGTTTAATGAAGGGGGTCATTTCGTGTATGCAAAATATGTGATTAAAATGTTGTCTGCCTGAGAATTTTAAGACCATCTGTTGTTGGATGTAAAATGAATTTGGTGCCTTTATATATATCTTAGCATATTTTCCAGTAAGCCTTAATTGCCTTTAGGGTAAATTCTTCTCTTCCTACACGCATAAAGCTCTCAAGAGTAACTCCATAGGTACAAGGAAAGCCGACTCCCAGAGTTGAGAGCCACGATTAAACGTAAGAACAGAATATTTGTTTTAGGTTTTCTCTTGTAGCTCTTGCAAAAAAAAAGCCCCCATGTATTCCATTTTTACAAATCTGATATGATTTTACAAATCTAATATGATTTCATAATCTATTGTTTGTGTGGGCTGGGGATAAAAATCATAACAGTTTAGTCTCATAGCAGGATTAAACCAAGTTTAATTTAGCTTCACATATGTTAGGCTTTACCAGCAGGCAACAATGTTGGAGCCCTTCACCTTCCTTTACCTGCTTGATGCTGGTAGCAGGTAAAATACTTATTTAATATAAATTAATATAAGAGAGATCTCTTGATTCTTTTCCAGTGTATGATTTTTGAAGTGTATGATACATAATGAAAAAAGGCAAAGGCCTGTGCCTGTTTCACTACCAACACCAATTGTTGTTTTCTAATAGTATAGTGTAATCACTGGTATATGGGCTTCCAAACAAGCGATTTATTGGGAGATCTGTGCAAGACTTGTCTGAGTAAAGTATTAAAATAGAGAATCAATTGAGAAGAATTTTGACTTTAGTGAACAGAAGCTAAAGACATCCTTTTTCTGAAGCCAAAAGAGATGTGGGTATGTGAGAAGCGTCTACATGCTAATTGACTATATTAAAAAGGTATCAGGGGAAAAAAGTGTATATATATATTAAAAAGGCATCAGGATGCAGATGGCAACAGGGTGAGCTAACACTCTTTTAATTCCCCAGCCTTTATTGCAAAAGAGTTACTTGCAACCTGGAAAAGGCTGTACCTGTTCCTTTTGTTCTTTTCACTTTGCTCTGAGATCATTTGTCACCGTGCGAAGGGCATACACATGTGAAGGTAGAATATGTTCCAGGAGAAGAGCACACAGAGCCCCCCATCCATCTTCAGAAGTGAGAAGCCTTCCAAAGAGAAAGAGAGCAATTTTAGTTTTTCATGACTTGTTTGCATTGCAATGCACTGGAAAAGGGATCCTGAACAGTGTAGATTTTTATTTATGCAGCTATTCCATACCTTTCTCCTGTAATATCTTTACACCTAACGTGCTTTTAGTTCCTTTACGGTCCCTGTAGTCTCTGTACTGCTTGCTTTCTCCAAGCTTCAGTTCTGAAATGCTAGACTGGGCTGTAAAGGGTAGTCGGAGAAACTGAGTATTAGCTTTTCATTTCCATTTTTCTATCGGGGGGCCAAACCAGTTATTCTCTACCCATGTGGCTATGAACTCTCACTCTTCGTTAAGTGTCTGTCAGGATGAATAAAGAGTCTATGCTATTGAATGTCTCAAAACTGAACTAGCACTTAGCCTGAATGACTGTATTTCTGACCTCCGAATCCCAGAGAAGGTTGTTAGTTCATAGTAGGACAGTATGTTAAGTGTAAGTTCATTTTACGTAACCCTTCTTGCCATAACTGCCCACTGATCAGGTACAACAAAACTTGGCTTTTATTTGACTCACCAGAGCAAAACTATATAACTTCTCCTGCTACTTAAAAATAAACTGAATTGTGAAGACTCCTGTTGCCACAAAGGAAGGAAGTGGAGTTGTGCCTTGGAGGAGAGTGTAATCATTGCTGGATATTTTGTAGGTTGGAAGTATTAACCCAGCAGAAGACTTCCGAGTGCTGGTGAAGCAGAAGGATGCTAACTTCAAGGAGGGTAAGTTGCTTTCATCTGCTGTGATGTTCTTGAATTGCCTCTTCAGCAGTCAAGTGTCCGTAGCAGAATGGTGATTACAATGGTTGGCACTAAATAGACCTCTTTTTGGTAGCCTTAGCTGAGGGGCAAAGGTTTGCATGGACTGTATGAACTGAGCATTTTTAATTTGTGTAGACGTGGGTTAGGATGGA